CATAGTTTCATCTCTTACCTCACAGAATGCTATGAATGTAGCAAGTCCTGGGTACGTAGTAGCTACTGTTATTTTAAAAGTATTGAATGTGATATTATTTATTTTCATCTTTACCGTAATTAATCTCTCATTGCAATTCCCAGCTGGGTAGCTGCGTCATCCTCCTTCCCGAAAGATAGCATTGGTGTCTGAACCTGTTTCTGGCACAAATAGGGATACGTAGGGTTGAAGAAAGGGAGAATCTGATTACTTAGCTTCCCTCCCTCCCTCCCTCACTCCCTCAACTTGTTGTTATGGGAAATTTAAAAATACTTGAGAAGAGAGGCTGTGGCAGCACACTCCCACGCACCGTCACCGTCACCCAGCTTCGCGGTTAGCAGCCCCGTTTCGTATATACGCCTCACCTAGCTCTCTGCCCCGCCCCCGAGCTGGGTTATTTTGCAGCAAATCCCAGGCATCATATTTAATCTTTTAAGTAATTTCAGTCTGCATCTCCAAAAAATGAATCACCACTTTCTGAAAAGGGATCTGCAGGCGTTTCGGGGGAGTGGGCCAGAGCCCCCATGACTTCCTAAGAATCGAGGAACAGGAACTGAGTGCCCGCTCTCCTTCCCTGTAAGGAGCAGGCTGGCCGGCTGCAGCTGGCATGGCAGAGTGTGTCAGGACCCCAGCTGTCTGCAGAGGCGCGCTCCCTGGAGCCCCGGCAGCTGTCAGTCGGGGGATTCTGTTGTGTTCCAGGCATCAGCAGGAGGGTTGACCCCGGCCAGAGCAGCCCAGTTGCTGATCCTGGGTGCAGAGCTGGCGTGTCCTTTGCTTGGTCTGCTGGACGGGCCAGCGCAGGATGAGCTTGGCGACCCTGGACCGGGTCAGATCGGCCTTGAGAGTCCTTGTGTTGTAGGATTATGAGAATCCCTTTTGTTTTTATATCTACCAACTCCTTTCATATCTGTGATCTCTTTGTTGCCCACAGCAGCTCCCTGGGATAGATTTTATTCAAGACACATAGTTCATAGACAAGGAAACAATCTGAGAGATCAGCTGTAGTTTCTTTTTCACAGACGTAGAGTGAATGGCAGAGGCAGAATTTGAACTCAGGATCTCTACCTGCATGAACAGGAAACCCTTGCCTTTCACTCCCTGCTCATTTCCTGTCCATGAATGGAACTGCAGAGGAAATAGCATCTCTGGTGTTTGTCTCGGTCTTCTCATTTGGCTCAGATTCTCAGTGGGGGAAAGCTTGACTCCCCCCAGCCCAAGAGAAGGTCTGGTGCCCCTCTTGGCATCATCATCCCATGGGCAGGGAAGGGAGGGCACCTGGCTGGTCACTGCCCCTTTGTCCCCTCAAACAACAGCATTCTCTAGACCTCCTCCTGGTCCTGCTCACCTGGGGCTGTATATTCCTGATTTCCCCTATTTTCAGTCTGCTTACAGCCAGGCTCCCTTGTGTGAGGCTCCAGAATCCCTTCCTGGGTGTTCGCAGCAGGCCCTCCAGGGAACATGTGTTTGCCGTTTGCCATGGAGACAGTTTGGGCCTTTCTTCCTCTGAGTGGTGATAAAATGGTCCAGGGCACTCACCCTTCCAGCAGTTTGGTAATTCTAAGAGACTTGTGAAAAATGCATGAGGCTGCGATACAATAGATAAGCTGAAAAGCTTGGAAGAAAATCCACTTGTGGATAGTGGGGGGATTGGAAAAACTCTTTCTTTCTTTGCCCTCTCTGTTCACGTCCCAAAAGAGATCATGTTTAGGAATAATTCTTCTGTTAACGCTGATGCTTTCATCCCTGGTCAAAGCTTGTTGGAGCCTGCTTGTCAGATATATTCCCTTTTGGTTTCTTCTAGCTTCTTTCCCTCATGAGTTTGGCTTAAATTCACGTCTTAATGATCCTGAGTTCCCTCTTTAAAGGTCACTGCCCTGAAGCATGGAAGTGGAACCAGAACCAGCAGCTGTGGGCTCCCCTTCTTGGGACTAGGGGGTGATTTTTGAGGGGGAGGAAGGAGCAGGTCCCTGTTTTATGTGACTCAGTCACTGGGGGAGACTTGGGCCAGCCCATTGAGCGGACATCTCTGAGCATGTGCGTGTCCCTTCCCTACCTGTCATGCCTCTAGCAAGTAGCTGTCTGTCCTAGACAGCCCCCGTATGTGGCCTCGAAGTCTGCCTTTACAAACACTGGCCCTCGCTTTTCTCCAATTTAGACTCAAATCAAGGATGAGGAAATTGACACCCAGAGGAACCAAGCGGCTTGCCCGAGGTGACACCAGGAGGTGATGATAGCGGGAGCCCGGCTTTCTCGATTCCTGGTCCCTTACTCCTCCCTCTATACCAGGCCACCTCCCAGGGTGTCGGGGGTTCGGGGGAGGGCAGGTCAGTGCTTGTAGTTACTGATCCAGAACGTGAATTTGTCGGCCAAGGTTATGGATCCAGCAGAGCAAAGCCTAAAAGGCTTTCTTTCATCCCTGTGTTCACTGCACCCCGCATGATGCCCTGGGCACTCTCGATGAGGTGAAGTTTGCCGAGCGGATGACTTTTTAAGAGGAGGGCGTTCATAGGATTTCACGTGTGAGTCTTGGTGTTTCACGAATGCCAGGCTCTTACGGCAGCGTAGGCCCGGTTCAGAGGAACGGGCTCTGATGAGGGATGGTGCTGACGGGTAGTCGCCGATGGGAGCCTGCAGTGGAGAGGTGCAGGCACCCAGGTGAGGCCGAGGCGTAGGACAGAGTTCGCGAGGCACGGCGCCGTGGCCTGAGGGATAAGCCTTCCTTAAAGACGCCTTGCATCTCGTCCCCTCGTCCCCTGGGGGTGACATAACGGTCTCTCCGGCATCAGCTGCTGGGCCTGTTTTGTCAGAGGAGGGCAGTGGGCCTGTTTCTGAGCTGACTTGCCTTTAGTCAGTCATGTCAGGAATAGGGGGAGGAAGCAGTGATGGTGGCTTTCGTTTGCACTTAGGCCTACAGAAGGTGTGTGCGGGAGAGGGCCTGCCGAGGGCCTGTAGGCCCCTTGGAGTTCATGGGTGTGGGATGGGAAGAGGGCTCCCCACATTTGTGCACTGGCCACCCTTTGGGAACGGAGACTTCTTTTTAAACATTCAGAGACGAAGACACAAACGAACCCATAACCAGTTCCTCTGGTATGAGCACAGTGGGGGAGCAGGTCTCAGAGGAGAGTAGATGGCTTTTGTGTTTGAGAGCCCTTAAAAATGATTGCTAGGAACCAAAATAGGTTCACTGAAAAGAAGAATAATTTTAAATGGAGCTTTATTTTTGTTGATAAAGCTTACTAGAAAAGAAGCATTATGGCTTTTTCTCTGGCCTTTGCGAATCTCCCAGGCTGATCTCGTAGACTGGGTGAGGAGGAGGGTGAATTAAGCTGGTATCTTCATTCTTCGGGGCGGCCATAACGAAGTACCACAGACGGAGTGGTAAAAACAACAGAAGTTTATCCACTCACAGTTCAGGTCGCTAGAAGTCTAAACTCAAGGTGTCTGCAGGGTTGGCTCCTTCCGGAGGCTCTGAGACCCTGTCCGTGCCTCTCCCGGCTTCCGGTGGTAGCCGGCAGCCCTTGGCCGACCTTGCCTTGTGGCTGCGTGACTCCCGTCGCTATCCTGCCATGGCCTTCTCCCTCTGTCTCTGTGTCCAAATTCTCCTTGTCTGAGAGACACCCGGCTCAGCATTGGATTAGGATCCACCCTGATCCAGTATGACCTTATTTTAACTTGATTACATCTCTAAAGACTATTCCCAAATAAGGCCATGCTCGGAGGGACCGCAGTCCAGGATGTGAACAGATCTGTTGGGGTGCGTGTGTGTGTGTGTGTGTGTGTGCGCGTGTGCGCGTGCACAACTCAACCCACAATGACAACAGCTGCCGAGTGCTTTCTCACACCCAGTCTTTCCCCGAGCCCTTCCCCGTTACTCCAGCATTCCACATTTTTATCCTCGGAATCACAGAGTTTTAGAGCCAGAGAGACGGCCTCCTTCACCGTGTCGACCCGACAAGGTCCTGCCAGCCCAGTGATGTGGCTTGGGGCTCCTGTAGTCACAGAGGCGACTAGTAGCAGGGCCAGGGCCCCCGTGTTCTTCTCCTTGAAACCTTTTTCTCTGTCTTTTGTTGAATTCCGTTACACATAATAGTTTCTCATTCCCTATGTGCCCCAAGAATGCAGGCACTTCCTTAGAGACCGACTCTGTCAGCCCCTCCTGCGGTTCAGTCCACCGTGAGGTCAGCAGGTGTTAAATGAGCCCTCCCTGGAGCGAGCCCTCGGGGGCCAGCGGTTGCCCTGGGCGGTCGCCCGCGCCTCCCCACGGACCTCCTGGTCAGTCTGGCATGCCACTCCCCGCTGGCCCCGCCTTAGAGTCCATGTGGTGCCGGGTGGTGGGCCACGCTCATGGAGTGGAACCCACACGTGGCTTCAGGTGACGGTTTATCCAGGGTTCGGATGAGCAGGCCAGACCCTGGTCGCTCTCGCTTTCTTGGCCCTGTTTTCTCAGCATGGCTCCATTTTGAGTTGTGGCTCCATCAGGCCTCTCCCTCAGACCCCGAAGTGGCTGCTCCCAGCCGCCCAGGTTCTGTGCTTCCTCTTCCCAGGAAGGAGTGTTCTTACCCCAGCCTTCTCCGAAAGGGTTCTGAGCCTGCCACTGGACTGACTCAGGTCCCGTGTCCTCTCCTGAGCCAGCGGGTGGTCCCCGGGTCCACAGTGCCCTGATTGGTCTAACCAAAGTCATGTGATCCTGAGACCACGTGACGCCCGAGACAGAAGTGGGGGCTGATGGGGGGAGTGAGAAGACAGAGATGGGTTTGGGGCGGGCGTGTGGGATGAAGTCGTGCTCACCTTGTTTCAGTACCAGCCTCCCCGATCTTACCAGAAGGAGTGTGTTTTCCTTTCAGGAGTACATTGATGCCCACCCCGAGACCATCGTCTTGGACCCCCTTCCTGCCATCAGGACCCTGCTGGACCGCTCCAAGTCCTACGAGCTCGTCCGGAAGATCGAGGCCTACATGAAAGGTGTGGACACAGGCGGCTCCGCTCTGTGGCAGGCGGCCCACTGCTGGGGTGACCAGGCGTTCATCGGGCGGGGCGGGGCGGGGAAGGGTCTGGTCTTGTTAAGCATGCTGGGACAGGAAGCAGTTGAATCTGGGGTGCGGATGGTGAGGGTGGCGCACGTTCTGGGGGCGGGGAGGCTTTCCCCCTCCTCTGTGGCCAGCAGAGTCAGGACGTAAAAGTCCAGAATGCTCTTTGGGACAGTGGCTCCCACCACTTCAGGATGCTTTTTGTCTTGTTTGCTTGAAGCCACGGAGTGGCAGTGAAGTGTCCCCAGGACAGTGAGAGTGGGAGCGTGTGGGGACAGTGCAGCGGCAGGCGGGCCGCTGGGGCTGTGTGACCGGTGGAGGAGACGAACAGAGAAATTGAAGGGCTGGTGATCAGACGCATGGAGCTTTGTAATGTGGCTGGACCTCGTGGGTACGCCATGTTCTCGCAGGCAGGAGCCTCCCTCTTGGATGCAGGAGCCTCTCTGGCCAGTGGCAAGCTCTTGTCCCTAGTCCCTGAGGGCTCACCCTCCCCACCTCCTGGGCAGGGCAGCTCTGGAGAAGCCCACGGCCTCTCCACGGTGTTCGTTTCTGTGAGGCCAGTGCGTTGGAGAGATGCATGCTGACAGTTACGCCCTAGTTCTCCTTGCCTGGTCCAGGCATTCCCTGCCGAGAACTCTCGGTTCAGTTTTAAGGAAATGTGCTTTGCCTGTGCCCTGGGGCCATGTGAGGAGTCATCCTAGGGGTAGGAGAGGCAGCCCCTGCTTCCGCCATCCGGACTGGGAGTGCGGCCTATTACGCTGCCTTCAACCCTGATCTGGACGGTGACTTGGCTCACAGGACCATTATGGGAATGAGAATAGCATTTATTGGGTATGTACCAGGTGCCTGGTATTGGGTTAAGCCTTCTCTTATATTCTCTGTTCCGGGGCTCATAAAGGGGGCACAGTCATTCTCCCCAATTTCATAGATGAGTACTGGGGGGCTTGGAGAGGTTAGCAGACATGCTGACACCACACAGCCTGTAAACGGCAGAGCCAGCATCCAGCCAGGTCTCAGGCTCCCCAGCTCCTAACCCCTGAGCTTGACTTTCATATCCATGGCCAGAGGGCCCTGGATCTAGCAGGCACCTGGCATGAGTGTTGGTGAGTCCTTGGTTCCCTGAGGACTTTATCTTGCAGAAGAGCTGGGTGCTGGACCTGGCCGTCCTTGGGGGCGGGGGTGTAGGGGTTCCTGAGGCCTTGTCTCTGGCTACTTGGCCTTTGGTGGTGTAGAGCATGGCCTTCCTGGGGGCCCCTCCAGCGGGCAGGCTTTCCCAGCATGCCAGCATCCTTCCCTCCTTGGATCTGCAGTGGTCTGTGACGATGTCAACCTCGTTTTTCTGTGTTCCTTGCCTGGGTCCAACCAGAGCCTCCAGATGAGAAGGAAGCTCTGTACCGATGTTTAGGCTGAATGTTGGTTCTGGAAGGGAAACCTGCTTCTTCCTGAGAGGTGTGTGTGTCAGACGCCAACTGCGTGTGAAGGGGCAGGAGATCGTAGTAGAAGATGAGACATCTCGATGCGTGGGAGAGGTGCGGGTCAGCGGGCAGGTCTCATGTTCTCACCAAGTCCAGTCGAGGAGTGATGGTTCCGACGGGATCAGGGCACCTTGAAGAAGGCTTTTTCAGAGCAAAGAGCATAGGCTTCTGGGGGAGATAGACTGAGGCTGTGTCCGAATCTGGGCTCTTGGTGCCTCCTGGTCTTGTCCAAGTCCCTTGACCAGACCCTGCAGTTTCCTGTAAGATGTGGATACCAGGTGGTTTATCTATGGGGTCCAGGCTTGGGATAACCGGGATGCTGTCTGATGCAAGTAGCACAGGTCCCAGCGCATTGGGGCCACGCACGAATGTCAGCTGCCGTTGCTGATCCCCTCACGATGGAAGGGGCCGAGGCATCTGTATTGGATCTTGGAACTTGCCTTGATTTTATGGCCAGAGATTCAGGACCAGGGCGTCAAGGGTGAGCCCGGGTTTGGAGTGTGAGTGTGCGTGGTCTGAGGAGCAGGGAGGTGGCTGTGCGCTGGCCTGCAGGGTACACAGGAAGCAGGGCTGTCCCTGGTGGGCGAGTATTGAGGAAGTGACAGCCTGGGCCTCCCAGACAGGGCAGCGGTGTGAGCAAAGCGGGGGAGAGCCGAAGTGTGGGGTGCCTGTGCGGATCAGAGTGGGGGACCTGGAGCGCCCTCCCGCAGCTGTAGGGACTTCCTTCATGGGCGCCACTGAAGGCATGTGAGCTGGGCGTGAGGAGATGAGAGCACATTGCAGACGTGGCCTGGAGACAGGTTCTGATGGCCACTGCCTGTGTCCTGTTGTGAGGGTGACACACCCAGCCGTAGGTGTGAGAGAGAAGTGACCGGGCTCCCAGTGGAGAGAGAATCAGAACCCACTCTGCTGGCTTCAAGAAACTTCAGACCCCAATGTTGTCCCCTCAGGAGCCGCCCACTAAGGGGACGCCCCCTCCAGGCCTGGCAGGAACTTGTGGACCGAGCCCTACAGACGGGTCTGGCACGAGGCCAGCGGGAACTGTTGTGTGGGTGGCCGTGGCCGCCGCACCCTGGGTTCTCCTTATCGTGCTGGCCGAGCCGTGCTGCCATTCTTCCAGCAGGGTGGTCACAGGCTGGGACTTCCTGGGGCCTTTTCCTGCCCACCCGGGCGCTGTTCACGCTGAAGCACATCGGCTCCCACCTCCCAGCCTCCCTCCAGAGGCCAGGCAGACACAGGGGACCGTCACATACCTGGTGCTCCCCCACCCCACCGCTGCTGTTCCTGGAGGCTCACAGCCCCGTTCTGTGAGCTGCAAATGGCCGTAATTACCCTTTCAGTTGCTCAGACAATTAAAGCCGTCCAAGTGACACCGCTTTTGTGTTGGGAGAAGGGGCTTGGTGCAGACTTCCTGGGGTTGTCGCCGTGCCCCATGCCGAGGCAGCTCTGCCTGTCTGCAGAGAGCCGGGGCACCTGCGTGGAAGACAGGGCGGACAGGAGGCTGCTGCAGGGAGGCGGCCAAGGCTCCCTGCTCTGCAGTGGGGGTGGGCCGTGCCGCAGGGGAGGGTCTCCCACGAGTAGCAGGCAGAGCGCGTGGACTGGGATCCACGCCCTGCGGGCCGTCCGCAGGCCATCGGCTGTGGGGGACAGGTGATACCTGCTGCCTGGAGCTCCCAGCCCCACCTGCGGTCACCGCCATCTCAGCGCCCCGTTCCCTGAGCTTGTCTTCTCCTAAGTCAGAGTTTGGAGGGGAAGCAGGGTCTTGTCTCTGCCTCAGACCCATCCTTTGTCAGTCTCAAATCTGCCGATTCGGTTATTTCTAAAGTTGCTTCATCAACAGAGACCTGAAATCACTGTGGTTTGAATGAGATAGAACTTCATTTTTCTCCCATGTAAATACCCAGAGGAAGGTCACCTGGTACTTACTGTGTGGGACAACAGGGACCCAGGCTTCCTCTAGCTCATTGTGTCGTGTGGCCCTCCTGTTCCAAGGTGGTGCTAAAACTGTAGCTGTCACATCCAAGATCTAGACGTTAGGGTGGAGAGGGGGGACTAGAAAAAAGAAAGCGAATTGTCCTTAGGAAAGGTTCTAGAAGCTACGACATGCTGCTCTGTTCACACATCATTGGCCAGAGCTTAGCCACACACTGAGCTGCAGGGGCATGGGGCGCATGGGCTTTATTTGAGCCGTGTGCCCAGCTGAAATTGGGAACTTTGTCACCATGGAAGAGAGGGAGAATGAGTTTTTGGGGACAACTAGCGGTCTGCCACCCTAACTTCTTAGAAGTGGATTCCTGCCTGGGGAATCCATGGGTAAATGACTTGGACTGGCCACTTCCCCTCCTGCTGGCTGGGGAGCGTGGCCTTAGCCTGTGACCTGAGCAGTAAGTCCCTTCCACACAGCTGCTCCAAACAGCATGAGGTCAGTAGGTTTGCAGAGTGACTCACCCCGGGGAGCCTGGGCCACAGGTTTCCCTAACTGATGACCACTTCTGGGTGGGGCTGTACCTACACCCCTTAACCAGAGGCACAGATGGCACTGAACCTGCATCTAATTCAAACCAAGTGCAGGAGTGGCCTCACACAGCACAGGAGGGAGGAGCGGGGCTGCGTCCACAGCCAAGGTCGCCACACACACTTGCAGACCTTTTCTCTCCCTGGTGTCTGCTCTGCAGCCCAGGCTTGGGATTTTGAGGTGGAAGCCCCAAGACCCAGGCCTGGCTTTGCCACCCCAGGCTGAGCGATTCTGGGCAAAGTTCTAGCCAACTTGAACCGC